TAGTGTTAGCTCTTTGTTTTCTGTACATGGGGAAACTGAGGCACAGAGGAAGCATCACCAGTTGCAGGCTTGCTTTTGCACCTGGATGAGGCTACCAGCCAAGGTCCTGGGTTGCACAGGCCGCCACACAGGTGGTCCTCATCGGTTTGTATGATTTTGTTCCAAATGTTGGGTGCTCCAGCTGCTGTAGGAGACCTGCTTCTGTGTTTACCTGTAGGCTACACCTTGAACAGGCGCCCAGCACACGCGTTACCATCCCCTATAGCAGCACCGCCAACGTGGTGGGTCAGCGATAGGTGCCTACCAGGCACGTCTTGCATCCCCCAAGTTCATGGAGGCTCTTTGTTAGTGTTTCCAAGTTTATTCACAAATTTTTTATCCTTTCTAGCAATTCTAAGACTCTCCAGGTTTATCTGGACGTTGCTGGCAGCAGGCAGGCTGTGCAGTGTTTGTGAACCACCATGCAGGAATGTGATCTGCTGGGATCGGTTCAGCTCCAACCTATTGACCCAGGAGACAAGGTGTGTCAGGGGCTGGTGGCAAAGAGATTTCTCATAATTCCTGTTCTTTCCATTTTCTTTTCTGAAGTTTCCTGGCCTGAACCCTGGGGAGTGGCTGAAGGACATTGCTGCCTGGATGCAGTCACTGCAGCGTGTCGGTGCTGGGGAGGCACCATGCAGCTGCTGCCTGAAGTGCCGAATCTTGCAGAAGTGGCAGCTAAAGCATCTTGGCCTGACAAGCTTCATCTGAGTCCCAGATTTTAGGTGAGTGACTCTGGTGATATCACCTAGGCTTTATTCCCAGATTTCAAAGCACTTTATGAAAAAAAGTCCCTTTATTATCTCTGCTTCGTATCTGGGGAAAACAAGGCACAGGAGCGTTATGTGGCTGTGTAAGTGGCAGACACAAAGCGCAGAGGTCCTGTGTCTCCATCCGGTGCATCGTCAGCTGTGACATGTTTCTCCCTCATTTCTAATCACACTAATTTCAGTGTGATTCCAGGATTTTTAGTCCCTCCAGAGTCACTTCTACCTAGTGTACAAGAGGAGCTTATTGACTTGTATGTCTGGAGCTGCTTGCCCAGAGCTGAGCTGTCCTTGGGAGCGTGCACAGTCTGCAGGTTGTGCCTGATGATGGTGGGAAAGGTGGGGAACACCAACTTTGGGTCCCCTCTCTTGCCCAGAACCAATGGTGGCTGTTGCCAGTGCTGGAAGGGTTTGCCTAGCTTGCTCCGGAGGGTGGACAGACATGCTCCACACCTCCACTGCCCCCTCTTCCACATTTCTGCAACAAACAGCTCTGAATGAGTTCTCTGCCTCCTCTTTATGTAGGGTGGCAAGCCCAAGCTGCTAGCTTTGCTTCTGTACTACGATGTCCCTGTCCCATCACTGTGTCCTGGATCAGCAACCTTGATCTCAGGGAGTTTGGTCCCGATCTAGTGGTTTCTTACCAGCCAGTGGTGAGCAGATTCTCCTTGACCTGTGAAATCCAGCTGCTAGCAAGGCAGTGTTATTTGACTGCATCCCTGGTGTTTCACCAGGTTTGTAGGAAGTTTCAGGAGCTACTGGCATTAGGGGCAAAGTCTCCTTGAAGCTTTTCTATCTCCAGACACCACTACAGCCAGAGATACTAGAGGTGACTTTGCTCCTTTCTGCTGTGCTGCGTCGATTCAGCTGAAAGGTAAAACCACCCCCCTCAGCCCGTAAATCTACAAAAAAAAAACTGAACAGAAGGTTCCTCCTTGTTATAGTGGTCGAGTCACAGAATCATAGAATCGCTTAGGTTGGAAAAAGACCTGTAAGATCATCAAGTCCAACTGTTAACCCAGCACTGCCAAGTCCTCCACTAAACCATGTCCATAAGTGCCGCATCTACACGTCTTTTAAATACCTCCAGGGATGGCGACTCAAACGCTTCCCTGGTCAGACTGTTCCAACACTTGACAACCCTTTTGGTGAGGAAATTTTTACTAATATTCAGTCTAAACCTCCCCTGATGCAACTTGAGGCCCTTTCCTCTCGTTCTACTGCTTGTTACTTGGGAGAGGAGACTGACCCCACCTTGCTGCAACCTCCTTTCAGGTAGTCGTAGAGAGCGAGGAGGTCTCCCCTCAGTCTCCTTTTCTCCAGGCTGAACAACCCCAGTTCCCTCAGCTGCTCCTCGTAAGACTTGTGCTCCAAACCCTTCACCAGCTTCGTTACCCTTCTCTGGACGAGCTCCAGCACCTCAGTGTCTGTCTTGTAGCGGGGGGCCCAAAACGGAACACGGTATTCGAGGTGTGGCCTCACCAGTGCCGAGTACAGGGGATGTTCACTGCCCTAGTCCTGCTGGCCACACTATTGCCAATACAAGCCAGGATGCTCTTGGCCTTCTTGGCCAATGCTGAGTGGGCTCCTCTGGGCAGTGGAGTAATGAGACCTTCTAGCCAAGGCCTGGCAGTGGTGCCTTTTGCTGGTGCTACACGAAGCACAGATCTCCCTTCTCCAGCCTCGGACTTAAGCCCACACCTTGGGCTTCCCAGCAGGAGCGTTCCTGGCGTTGGATTACCAGCACCGTCCCCTCCAAGGACACCTGTTGTTGACTCACCAATTGTAAATGGGACATAATTCCTGGAAACCATCTCTGGGCAGATTTGCAGAGTCATCTGCGGGGTTTCACGTTACTAGAAGGGAGCAGTTTGTTTTGTGAACAAACATTTCTCCTACCTAACCACCTCCTGCTTTCTCTTCCTTCTTCCCTGGGTCAGGGTTGTGCTGGCTGCTCCTTTTTGGCCAAGGACTCAGTTTTAGGATGCACCAGATGCCCTGATTTTAGGATGCAAGCACTGCCTCGAAGGTTTCCTGGTAGCTCAATCTCTGTCCTCTAGCTGTGCCCCCTGTTTTTGACTATATCAAAAATATATATCAACATACTTATTTATTATCAATATACTGTGCTGCTCGTGGCGTTATCCATCCACTGGCTGTGGCACAGATAAGGAGAGCAGTGGATGGAGCGACAGTGGGAAAATCCTGCTGGCTTCTTATCAGCTTCAGGGAGGAATTTTTCAGTGGAAAGCTTTTGTCTGGAAAATGCCTGCCCATTGTAATGGAAACCGTTCATAGGAAGAGGTTTGTTTGGACAAATTTTCTGCTAAAGTGTTTCTGGGGGAGGAAAAACAGGTTGGAAATGTTCCAAACCTTCAGCAATTTCAAAATAATGGTATTTGAACCTCCCTTTGGAAATAACTGTGAGAGCTCAGGAGTTTAAATTAAGAAATAATAAATTCATTAATAAACTTTAAAATAAAATTAATATATTTTTTTTTAACTTGCACAAAGTTAAAAAAACCCAAACACCTGTGTGGAAACAGGCAGGTATTAGTTCCCAGCCAAAGCAAGTTCTGTCTCTCCTGCAAGGTTATTTCCACCCCCTCAGGTGCAGGGAGACCTCTGAGCTCCTCTGTCTTGCACAGAACCG